ATCTCTGTGGACGTTACGTCAACACACTGAATAATGCTATGTGTTGAATGGTGTTCATCATCGGTCTATATGACCCATTTAATCGAACCTATTATTCAATGTTACCTATAGATCCATTGACGATCATAAATGATGGTACATAGCATTACTCCAGCATATTAGTCTTTATTCTTTCTTGGTGCGAGTATGTGTTTTGTATGATTCTTGATTTGATTGTAATCCTTCAACATTCACAACATGATAAGGTGTTTATATGCACTTATCCGTGATATTTAAACTTGATAAATAATTTATATTTGAGTAAATTCCTACATAATTTAGTGTAGATCTGATAATTGTAGGTAAAAACCAATTAGAAAGCATTCATGCAAAAAGGAAGGTGTTTAGCTAATTTATAGTTGATTTGGAGCAAATGAAGATTAATTGGATCGTACGAGGACCAATAATGAGTATTAAGATTAATCGAATGTCGCAGGTTTCTGAAGTGAAATTCAACTTATATGAAGTTTGGAGACGAATTTGCACACTTTTGGAACTTAAGAAAAACTACTTATGGAAGATTGTTGAGGTTTGGGAAACAATCTGGAAGCTTTTGAAAATTGTGAGATCAAATATTGAAGAATTGGAGTGAAAAGGATCAAAGTTGGACAAAAATGTTGAAAGAGAGACCAAAGTGCAACATATGAAAGTTAAGGGACTAACTTGGACATTTTAAATAGTGGAAGACCAAAAATGATGAGATAAAAAGTTGGAGGATCAAAATGATTAAAGCCAAAAGTTCGAAAACTTGGTTTACAATTTAATGTTGGCAAGTGAAAAATAATAATAAAAGCTTTAAAAAAAATGGTTACTTCTTGTTAGAACTAGTTTTTTTAACTACTATTTAAGGACCTCATTTTTGTCAAAATGATGGGGAAACAATGTTCCAAAAGCCAAACATTAGAGAAGAAAGACGAAAATTAAAGGGGGGAAAAATAGGTTTTTCAAGATTTGGCATGGAAGAAGACGATTCTTGGTGAAAGGTCTTCAAAATTTTCTAAATTTTTCTTTTAACTTGGTCATGTACTATATTTCTTTCCTGTATGTCTCTTCTTCCATGATGTGTGAAAATCTCTAGATACCACTTCATAGTCTCTGAATAATATTAGAATATTCTAGATTATAGATTAGTTTGACCTTACGAGCGGAATTATTCTATTAAAAGCAACAAGTCACTTTTTAATTGTTTCTAAATGGTTAAACATACAAGTCCAATTTGTCCTATGTTTTAATGCCACAATCAATAATCAAAGCAATAAACAACCTCAGTTACCTCCGTCATAGACAAGGAACCTTATAGTTAGATACTACCTAGCCAACTCCACTAGACTTCCTGAGCTACTTCCTGTAATCTTCAAGATCCTGTTGAAACCACCAACTTTCCAATCTTCTACAATTGTCTCTTTCCAAGTGGATACCCAAAAATCACCAATTCTTGTACTTCTTCCTACGCTTGTAGTCCAACCTTCCTCAATCTTCGGTAGCCTCCGAGGTTCCTATTTAGAAAATATCTTCCTTGTTGTGTTAATGAAGTAAGTGTTTCAGATTCAATATCCTTGATTTTTCCCCCGATATGTGGTTGTAGGATTTCAAGAATTAATGGGATGAATCAAGGCACGAACAAGTTTTTGGATCTCAAAAGGATGTTATCAATATGATATGGAAGAGAGGCACAATGAACACCGCTATAAAAACCGTGCAAGGCTTAGGTATATATAATTGGAGGTGTTTAGTTAGTATGGGTTGCAAAACTCTCCAAAATCGCGAATTAGGATTTTTCACATAACACTGTTGCTTCAGTAAGGGGTAAGCGACAGGCAAGCAAGGTCTGTCGCTCGAGCAAGGGTCGAGCAATAGGCGGGCGATGAGCATTTGGTTTTTGTCGCTCGAGCAATTGGCAAGAAGCAAGCAAAAATGCGGTAACTCTTCTTTCCTTTTTTCGAACTCAAACCCTAACCTACCTAACTCATCTACACAAAATTGCACCTCACTCATTGACTTTTACACATGTTCGATTTAGTCCTTTTTGTTCACAGAATCACCGATTATATAAAGCCTAACAATGTGTAACTATATTAATAATTACAATAAATGTTGTAACCTAATTAAATCTTAATTTTACTTGTTGTGTGTTGATTTTTAAATTGATAGTTGTGTATTGTTCTTATTTCTTTTTTATGACTTTGAATTACGTTGATCACCGATTCAATGATTTGTGAAAAGCAAAGAATCGAGAAATGGGTTTTTTTTAGATCATGTAATAAAATTCAAAATTTAGATAGGAGAGTTACACTTTTACTAACTGTGTATTATTAATTAAATTTTTTGGTAATTGAATGTGTTAATAAGGTTAAATAAGATTACGGAGATCGTCGAAAATTATGACTATAATTGTATTGTGTAAAGATAGATTGTTTTTATCATATTTAAATTATAGGTTACCATTAGTTAATATTGCAATTGATTACTACCATATTTAGTGGTTATCTTATTCTATATAATAAGATAACCTCTCACATCAAGGGCCATCGAGTTTTGTTGAGTATATTTGACATGGTATTGGAACTGTTTTGATCCTAAACAAACTAACCCATGAATTTCGTTTTTCAACAAACAAAGATTTTATATCATTTCTTATAACAAAATTATTAAAGTATGGAGAGGAAATTGAGGCTCGGATCTATTGGCAAGAGGATCGGTAATGCCATGGCTGAAAATCACCAATTGTTTATGAGAATAAAAATGGAAAAAACTCGACCCCACATGCCATCCAGGTTGCCCCGCCATGATACAAATAGTCTCCCCGCCCAATTATCAGCTTATAGGAGGAATAAAGGCAATTATCATTACAGCTTCTTAAAACTTACTTAACCACTTTTTAGCTTTGCCAAACAAGTAATTAGTATTATTAGATATATTTGACATTGAATAAATTTTTTTCTTCGAGCATGAAACAGTCGAAACCGCCTATGCCAAAAATCCCTTGACACCGATAACTTGACGAAAAAAATCCTTAGAAGTGGCTGCCAAAGATTCTGAGTTGCATATGAAGATCCACAAGCATGGTTTCGCTCAGCAGACTATGGGACCAGGCCCTTCAGCATCTATAGCTACAAAGTAGGGGACGGAGCAGGAGAGTAGCGACCTAAAGTATGACATTTGTGGGTAGATAATACTTGCTATCAGAAATGTTGCGTGAGTGGGATTTGCAAAATCTCACGTTTCTCCACCTCCTGCAAGATAAGCTAGTCATGTTTTGCCTGTGGATGATGTGCTGCCAATGGCGGGAACTGTGATAGAACTATGGTTTGTGTTTCGGCAAAGACGGAGATGTAGTGGTAGATTAGGTTGACGGTCGATGATGTTGTAGTAGAACTTTGGGTTAGGGTTGTTGTATGGTCTTGGCATTGGGTACGGATATTGGGTAGTAAGCGTGTTTAACAAGGTGTTAGTTGATTCAATTGGGCCATGAGAATTTCATCATTACTTGGACTTTGTTGGGCACTTAATTTTGGTTGGGCTACTTTGTAGGCTTGTTTATGTAGGTTTTGTATAGAGGAAATTACACCAAACACTACCTTAAAAATTTAACATTCTAAAATTAAGTTGGAAGTTTTATAATTGAAAAATCAATTTTTTTTATATTAATTATTTAAATAAATTAAAAAAATTAGGAAAATATCAAAACCCTATCCACTACCCAAACCCGTAATTCTTCTACCTCTCTCGCTCTCACTCTCCCTCTCCCTACCCATTTTCTCCCTACACACACTCTCCCTCTCTTTGTGCCCTAATTAAATATATTACTCATTGTGCTAGTTGGCGAGGCAGACCACCGAAGTGTCGAGGTAGGTTGTGACGATATGGGAAGAATCTGATTTTTTTGGGAATTTGCTAAGGTTTTGGGATGGCGATCTCTGCACGAATTACGCAATGGCGAAGTCGTCGCACGGTAGAGATGGTTTGGTGGTGGAGTTCATATGACGCGACTATTGCATCGCTCGTCGTCGATGATGATGCCAGTGATTTTGCTTTTGATTTTGGATCGTCGATGATGACGCTAGTGATTCAATCGGAGAATCAATGGTTTTCTTTTGATTTTAGATCTGTGGTTTGGCTGTGGAGGTGATGATGCTAGCGGTGATAGTTAGGTGGAGGTGGTGCTGGTTGTCACTGGTGGAGGTAGTGGGTGATGTGACGAGTGCTTTGTATGGGCAGGCATAGGTGATACGATTTGGTTGTGGTTGTTGTAGATCGGAGCTGAAAAAGGGAATGGGTGTTGTGGCGGCGGCAGCGGTAGAGCGGGATGAACTATGTAATGGTTGTAGTGTCGATAGCTATGCAGTGCTGGGTTGTGATGGTAGTGTTATAGGTGGTGATGGTGGTAGAACAGGCATTGGTTTAGTATGTTGGAGTGGCAATGGTGGGCGTGGTTTGTTGGTGATGGCAGCAACGAAGGGGGTAAGGTGATGGTGTTTTGGATCTAATTTGTTGGTGGAGAGTTGGTGGCGGCAACGCTTGTTGTGGTGGTGAAGCGGTAATGGTGGTGGTGCTGCTTGTAGTCACAGTGGGGGTATGGCTATAGTCACGTGGTGGTGTCGTTGTTGGTGGCTTGGCGACGGCAACAGTGACTGCTTGAGATGGGGCTGGATGCTTTGTGATCAATTATTTGGTTGATTATGACTAATAATTGGTTAATTTGTAATGTGTGACCTAAAAGTTTTGACTTTGATTCACAATTGATTAATTTGTGAAAAATTTATTGTGACTAGTTAATCTAATAATTTGCAGTGAATAAATGAATTGTGACCAACAAAAGTTTTGATTTGTGACTGATGAATAATCCGTGAATGATAATTCATGACTTTATAATAAATTGTGACTTATAATATTTGTGATTTGTGATCAATAAATAAATCATGACTTATAAATTTTTTATATGTGATCGATAAACAAATTTTAACCTATAAATTTTTTTTTAATTGTGATCGTAAAATAATTTTTGAAGATCTCTCTTTTTCTTATTTAGTCCCCTTCATTTCGTAAGTTGTTTCTATCTCTACATCTCTAGTTCAAATAGGTAACCCACAAAGGAAGACGAGCAAATGGTTGAAAGCTAGTATGGTACCAATACCAATGCTTTGACCTTTACGCTCTGTAGAGATACAAGGTGCCATTTTAGGATTCCATTTCCTAGTTCCCGTTGTCAAAAGATTGGGGAAGATAAGCAAGAAGTCTTTGAGCGCCGCTCAACTGTTCGAGTGTAATGCTTGGTTTCGATTCATCAAAGGTCGAATGCCTGGTCGGAGATTAATTCATCTATTGGGAGAAGTCATGAACGAGCCCAAAAAATGAAATATTGACATAAATTTTCTGATTTGTGACCAAAAAATAATAAATGATTAATTAAATCATTAATTTGTGACCAAATTATATAGATTTCTGACCCTAATATATTTAAATAAATAAATAATTAATTAATTAATTATATCATAAATAAATTTGACTAAAAATCAGATTTTTGAAGTCTGAAATTTGTTTTCTTGATTTTGAAATGTTAGATACTTAAACTCTTGCGAAATTTTCCCTTTTGTATATAGGTCTGTGATGTGGTTTAAGGTTTGGTTTAGATGATAATGGGCCTGGGGTACAAGGGCTGAATATGGCTTGGTGGGCTGAAATTGTTTGATTTGGGACAAAAGAACAATACAATTGAGTTTGAGTTTGGGCTCTTAATTTCTTAAGTTGGGCTGTTTGTTTTGTTGCATTATTTGGGTTTTATCATAGTTGGATTGCTTTGGGCTACATTATTTCTCCAGCTCTTGGATTGAGTTATTAGCATAATTCAGATGACTCTGGTTAATTGGATGAGGAAGAGAGAGAGACATGAGGGTGTAGATTGAGTTTTAGGTTCTCGGATAATGAGTTAGAGTCTTTTTGGATTCTCAAAAGAGGATCATCTTGGTGTGGTTTTTTTTTTTTTTTTGTATGATAGTTTGTGGGATTTCTTCCAACTATAACATCTTGGTCAGCGATATATTGCTGAAATATTGGCCGGTGTACTAGCGTTAGAGCTTTTATCGGAATACGAATTATGTGTTCCACTGAGTTCTCCCAACAGATAGAGTTCACAGTGTGTCGACAAATTTTGTGAATTTCTTTTGAAAATTTTTCTTGGTGTGAGCTTTCTAGAGTGTTCTTGGAGTGGTTTTGGAGTAGTTCTTGGTTGTTTTAGCAGTATTTGTTATTCTTGGTCTCTCCTAGTCACTGATTTTTGTAGATAGTTGCTCTGATTTGGATTTCTTCTTCGTGAGCACAAGTATTGTCACCGTCGCCAGTTCATGATTACAAATTGATGCTTTTACAAGCATCAATTTGAAAGGGATGTTAATAAGGTTAAATAAGATTACGAAGATCGTCGAAGATTACTACTATAATTGTATTATATATAGATAGATTGTTTTTACCATATTTAAATTATAGGCTACCATTAGTTAATATTGTAATTGATTGCTACCATATTTAGAGGATATTTTAGTTCCATATAATGAGAGAACATCTCACATCGAGTCTTATTAAATATATTGGATAGAATGCTTTTGATTGAAGCATATCAGGAATTACGTAGACACTGAGTTTACTTAATTAAGTAGAATTGATTTGAACTCGAGAGGAGTAAATCAATTAATTTAAAGGAATTCGATCGAGTAAGCATTAATAACTATTGTCATGATTTGGTAATTGATATTAAAGAGATAATGATGGTGATCTCGTGAATCCTTCATACATCAAGTTGAGCTGTAAATAGTCTATTTGTGACATTTTTTATTATTTTAACAAGTGGTCCTCGTGAGAAGATTCTTAAGTCCACTTAACTACATATTTGATTGACATCTTACATTTTGCGATAAATACACAACACCTACCATTCCGCGAAGTTCATCCTCGGCAGAACTAAGAAGGCTCACCATAATGGGAACTGCACCTTGTTCAATTAGGATGTTGACGGTGATGTTGAAGGTGTGAGATGAACAAAATAAAATATCTCCTATAGCCCCCGCTGCCGCAACCTAAGAAAATGAATAACTCAATTTATTTAATAGTTGAAACACATGAAATAAACAAGACACTTAGAGAAGCAATTAAAAGCACAAAGTTAAACCTGAAGTTGCGGGAAGTCATCTCTATCAAGAAACTTGAGGAGTCGAGAAAAAATTCTAGATATTAATCCCTTCGATAGTGCATTTATGCCTGTGGAAACAAATTAATTGAAAGCGGATGGAATCAGAGATATAAAAGAAAAAAGCTTAAACAGTAATAACATTTATATCAAATTAATTGGCTTCATGAAAATTAAATTAATTGATTACCATTAATAAGATTGGTTAGCTGAGAACAGGCGCTGATTTGCAATTTGTCGTCATTTGACTCAAGATTAGCTATTAATTTAGCCTCCAATTCCTCGCTCTGTTGCAATTGGAAGAAATTAATAATGAAGTTTACATAGCAGTTTCTATGTGGTGAAATTATAATATATAAGATACAATTCAAGTCATGCTTGCTGAAGCCAGCAGTTGCTGAGTTATGAGGTCAGATAGGAGGCGTCACTTTTGTGTCCAAGGGCAATGGAGCATTTTAGGGAACCTTTTGGATATATTTATGGAGAATATGAAAAAGATATGGACGTCTCAAACTTTGGTATTATAATAAATTTACAAAATCCCCTTTTAAGTAGCAAGAAACGAAAGTGACCATGAGCAGGAGAGACACTATTCCTGACGTAAAATGATTTTTTTTTTTTTTTTTTTTTTTTTTTTTTTTTTTTTTTTTTTTTTTTTTTTTTTTTTTTTTTTTTTTTTTAATTTTTTTTTTTTTTTTTTTTTTTTTTTTAATTGAGTTCCAGCAGGGGCCCTTCTAAATTTTGTGTTTTTTCATTTATTAGTAAGACGAGTCTAGAGTGGTTTGAAAAAATAGAGAAAAAATGCTCATGCTAGCTAAAATTTCTTTATAAAGATCTATAGATATTCTTGAGATAGAGAAATGATCAGATACGAGCAACAGAAAGTCTGGCTCAAGAAATCGCTTTTACCTGTTGATGGTTGAACTGCCCTTCGCAAAGGACATGAACTTGAAGGATATCATTTCCTAAATTTTCTTGGTCTTCTTGTATTTGCTTTGCCGAAATCACAGCTGAAGGGCTAGCATCGTCCAACTCAATGATTTGAAGAGTTGGTATATCTCCAATGCTATGAGGGATCTCCTCTAGTTTGGAACATTGCTTAAGCATTAGGCACTCGAGGCTTTTGAAGTTAGTGTTACTGGCTCTCCATTGCACTAGAAACATAGTTCTAAGTAGCAAAAATTTTAGTTTGCAAAATTCTCCTTCGGTTGGCTCCCATTCCGGCTCCCATCCTGGCCTCTCTTTGTCCCCATCTAGCAGTTTGAGCACTTCAAGGTTGGGCATTGAACCAACAATAGTCATGTGTTTCCAAGCAATTTTGCAATTCCCTAAAGTTAACTTTTTGATATTTGTTGGGAAAGTGAAATTTACGGGGACTCTAACACGTTCTCTAAGACTACTGATTTTCAGGGTTTCAAGTTGAGGAAGATTAACCAGAATATCTAGAGAAATTGTATCGTAGGAGTCATTCAAAATTCCTAACTTGTTTAGATTTGGAACTCTTTTAAAGACCTCCTTGGTGCAGCTGGAACTACT